TTTTTTCCATTCCAACTGCTTCTATTCACACCAGTCGGAGAAATATTCAAACACAATATTATATTTTTTTTTCCTGAACGACTTTTGCGTACTTCAAAGCATATTATGTTCTTTTTGCTTTGGTCACGTTGGACATCGTAGCATTGTGCCTTCTTTGAAAATCATAATCTGTTTCCTCAGCTCTATGTGTATTCAGTAAATTAAAATGATATTGTACACTGTGATGTTACTATTTAAGTTCCAATTAAAACCACATTTGCTTGTAATTTTAAACTAATGAATAAAGTCATGTTTTTTTAGGCCATTATATTTTATATATATTTTTATCATTTTTTAGGCATGTAATACACCAAATGCTCCAAATAATCGTTGTGTTTCGTTCAACGTCGGGTGTCGAACTTACTGTGTATTTATTTGTAAAAGTATTGCATTTACACAAATACCTACATTTTGTGTATATACATATTATATTTATAAGTACGTATATTTATATATTGCAAAATCAGTGTATCCCCCTGCTAAGCGTACTAAAGCGAACTATAAGTTATCTCACCTGTATCCTCCGTATAACCCAAGAGATAAGTTCAACTTCCGGACACGCATCCCTAAACGCACGTTTAATGAAGTCCGCGTATTCGCTATGGTCAAAGTGTTCGGCCTTGAAAAAAGTTTTTCGTCACAGACCGTTAACCCCTGTTCTTTGAACCGAAAACAAATGCATTATACTTTTGAAGATCTGGCTGTACCTTTTGATTGTACTTAAATACGATTTATTAGATATTAATAACAAATAAACCAAACCGTTTAAATATGCATGTTTATTACTGCGTTTAGAAATTTCAGAAGTATACTGTGTATACAAATTATACTTAGTTACGTTTTAAAGCCTAAAATAGCTAATAATGAATTTTATCATAATCGGTGTTTCGTTTAGGACTTTATAGTTATTGACAAACACTTCAAAAGCCAAAATATTATTTTATTTTTATGGAAATTTTGCTGGACTATTGATTTATGTTTCAAAATAATACAATTCATATTTTGACTGGCCATTTGTTTATTTATTTTTTTTAAACTTTATAATTTATATTTGCTATATTTAAACCATTATGAATGAACGCAGTACAATATTAAATTACATTATAACATCGAAGATGTTAAATTGTTTACAGTAATCATAATTGTGTAGTGTACATTTAATTGAATTCCATAATTTAAAGTAAGATTTAGCGTTTTCCGCTTATTTGTATGTTCTGATCGGTTCGAGATCTTAATTAACTCACAGCACAAAAAAGGGAGTTTTTGCAGCCGTCTGAGAAGGTCCAAGTGAATCTATAGGCTTCCGAATTAACGAGTGTGGGCTCTTCTGAAAAAAACCTGAACTCGGACACTCGAAAGCCTATATAGAACTTTTAGACCTTTCTAGATCGTGGGAACTCCTTTTTTTTTTGTGCTGTTGTAGCGTATTCTAGCTTCCATTGTACATAATTCATAATAAACACTCAAACAAAAACTGTTTAAGTAATCTAAAGATTATAAGGTGAAATTATTACCATCATAATTAATAAATAACAACCTAACACATGCAACATGACATAACTGCTGTTAAATTGCCTACCCGAGTCGCCGTACCACAAGATAAATTTAGAATACCAGTTATTTAATACAAAACACGATACTTTTCCAAGCCCTACAGATACTTAGACTAGTAATCCAGATTTCAAAAACTTATCCTAGTTACTGGCCCGGATTACATCGTTTTAACTATTTTATTCTGTAAATTAATTCCTTTTTAATAATAATAAGTAATACTAATATGACGTATAGCATATTGACACATTAATATCATTGGTATTGGTCGGTTTTGTGTTCAAATGTATACTTTGTATGTACTCATTCTGTCTATAAACAACAAATACAGTGACAAGCAAAAGGTTTAATTATCTAAGTGCAGTTGCTTTTGACCCGTCATCGGGCTAACATCCTTGTCAGATTAAACCCCTAACAGTGCGTAAAATTACTATTTTAAAAACCACTGAACTTTACATAGCTTTATGACAGCGTTTTTTTTTTTGTGCTAGCGGTTAAATAGAATTTTACTTTCTAGAACTTTTTATGAAACGTATTTATCCTTTATAAAAATTTTAAATCAGTTAGGATTAATAATATTTACATGAATAAAACTATTGTCCATGTCTTGAAAGAAATATGTCAAACAAACTTCAAAACCAGCAAAACTTTTTTTAAAACGGTTATTTCTTAGAATAGAATCATGTCACCGAACATATTATTATATTATTGCTAACACAAACAGAATACGTTTGTCGAATCTATTAGGTTGGCTTGAACTGTTGTATTGTCCTCCAGTACCGTACGATTTTAATTTAAAACGCAGTTTACTAAATAATTATATGAAATCTATTATACTAGAACATAATATTAGTATGTGTATATACATAACAGTCGGGATGTTGAATATATCAAAATATACCATCATTATTAAAAATTATTGTAAGGGCGCCAAAACCGTATTGTTCGGGATTCTGTTTTATATTAAAGTTTTTTTCCATCGTCCCTAAAGACCTGCCTACTCGGAATTCGTGAACCTAACCGAAACAATTGTTGAATGCCAAAAATATCATCATTCAGGACAACAATAACGCTTTCAAACCATTGTGGAAATAATTCCATATCGTGTTTTTTTTTTTATCGCACTCCACTCGACCCAAATACACGTCGTCAAATCATTATTCTATTATTATTTATTGTTATCCTCGACTGGCAAACTGTAATTATTAATCTACTCCGTCAAAATTCAGAGATTATAATAGATCGGCACTTCATGACCAACAACAATTAAAATAATATCAATGGTGGTCGTATTGTGAAAAAGTTCCTCTTCTTACGACAAAGTATACAACCCATTGGTCAGTAGTAAAATTAAAATGTATATACATTCCGGAGTACGGTAGTAAAAACATTAACTCAATTAAAATTTTTAAAGCATTAATGAAGTAGTACTTTGAGTTCACTACTGAATACTGACTTAAAAAGACACAAGTTATTTTACATTATTACACGTTACCATAATAATGTTATGTGGGTTGACAATACATCGTTTAATGGAACAGTTGGTAAATGCGGCACAATGAAATCAGGTCGACTTACAAGTACAGAATAATCCATTTTTTCCGTTTAGTAAATTATTTACATAAAAATACATTTGCAGTTGGACGTCTTGCCGTTTGAGTCAAGATATTAAACGTTGTTGCAACATCATCGATTTTTTACCCTACTATACCCAGCTTATAACTGACAAAATACCCCACTACACTTTATCAAATTAAGTACATCAAAATTATGATTGAAGCGTATTGAAGTGTCGATATAACAAAACTAAAATGCAGAATTTTTAGACACCGATTGTGTAGGTAAACTCGTAAATTATTACATTATAAAATATACATCATTATTGCACACTCATTGGAATATGATGAAACTGTTTGTTTTAATTTCTTAATTATTATCAAAGCATTATTTTGTACGCCGTACCGAATGACTTATCAATATCGGCTTTGATAGGATTTTATTCAATTTGATAATAGTCTAGAGACCTCTCAGTAGCTTAGGCAATAATATTGTATGCGGTTAAATAGTATTCAGTTATCATTAAACTAAGCCATTAATATCTGTAACAACTGTGAATAACTGTGTGTATGTCGAATTTTGGTAAAAATTGACTAAGTACGCTTGGATGTAGTCCGAGGCACACCTTGAATAAATGTCCAACTCGTTGGACCAACAAGAAAATCTTGAGAGAGATGTGAGTTATTGGCTCAGTTGGGATTTATGGCAGCTGGTCAAAGTCGCTTCACTGTAAAATCACTGAAATCTACTTACACACTTATTTACAGTTGTTACAGATATTTTACATGTTATAGTTAGTTGATGTTAAATAAAATGCATACAAATTTAAAATAAGTTATTATAACTGACAATGTTTATCGTATCGAAAATATTGTTTAATAATATTTCAGTTGTATTGTTATTCGTGTAAATTAGTCATAACGCTGTTTTCATCTAAAATAATGCGTTATAAGCATACGGATCGTGCTTCAACGGGTCCCGGGTTTTGGTTTCTGTTGCTACTCAACCATAATAGCAATAATTGTTTGCTTTCAAGTTTAGAGTTAACTAAACTATTTCAATCGCTTAATTGATTCACTGACTAGACGATAATAGTTTCTGATAATTTCGAATCGCCTAAACATCACACTTACAAACATACTAAAAGTAAACTTCTTGACTACTTTATTTTACACAACAGGTTTTATACACCGTCTTGACTTTTTTTGACAGTCACTACTAATTATATATCTTCTAAAATCTCCATATCCCAAAATGTTATATTAATAACATCTACATTTGTATCAATGAAAACTAATTAACGTTTAAAATCAAAATAACTACATAAAATCTTCTTGGTAAATTAATTGTGTCCTAATAATGTATTTGTACAATTTGTTTATTCTTAAAAATATTCATTATAAACTACACATACACGTATATTTGTACTGTTTACCTACACAATACAATTACAATGTTTGCTATGTTATTTTCAATTTTTGATTAGCTTTTATGTAAAATCAAACTGTGTAATTTTTAAATACAAATTATATAAAAGTCATCTCCATTTTGGTTTTCTTCTTTGAGCTAAATCGTTTTTGTTTTTCTGATTAGTTAAAACAATAAAAACATATTAAACTGTAATACAAAACATCGCAAACAAACATTTCTTAGAAACGTCTATTAAATACCATTTTGATACATTATCATAGCATATTGGTTAGAAACGATAAACCTGTATAAAATATATGGTCGTCAAGCTCAAAAGTAAAAATGTACGTCCATAAGAGATCACTACAGTGATCGTTTTTGCAATACAAAACATTACTTCCGGGGATTAATTTTTATAAAGAATTGGATGAGTAAAAATACAATTGTACTTGATATAATTCAATATATTATTTAAACGTGAAATCATAATATAGTTATATGGTACAATGTAACATTTTAATCAAAACATGAAGTATTTATTTAAAATAGTTTATAACGTAACATATAAAATAATAAAACTGAGATTTAATGGTATATTTTTAAATTATATTAATTTATGCCAAGCAATGCAATATTTCTGAAACAAAATAGTTTTACAATACAATTAATTTTTAATTAATAATTATATTAATTAAAATACATCGTCTAATAGTTCATAAAATAAAATTATTCTACGCGCCTAAGAATCCAAAAATGGAACCAATACAAATACAATTTTAACCACTTTTAAAAAATAAATTTCCAATAATATTATAATAAAACATAAATTAGAAATAACTTATATATTTTAAATTTCAATCCCTGATAGTTATGTTTAGAGTAAGTTAAAATTTGATAGGATTACAGAGACAGACAAGAGTACTTATTAACAATTTGGCCTAATTACTTGAAAAGTTATACTTCAAAAATTCAGCCTAAAAAATTGTTTATTACGACACTATTCTTTATCCGGGCTTATAATATCGCACGTGTGTTTTAAAAGTAACACAAGTCGAAAATTAATGTTTTGAGAAAATTGCAGAAATTTGTCAAGTGAGCTTTGCTAAAAACCTTTACATAAATCGACTGCTGCTTTCTTCTTAACAATAAAAAGTTTAAATCCAATTTTAACTGTTTTTTTTTATGTATAAAAATTGAGCCATTAATGTGCATTTAGTAAAAATATCACGGTGGCTTGTTATGTATGCCAATCATATTATAATAAATTGTTAAATTGCCCACTTACATTCATAGTTCACCGGCATTATTTCTTTGAACCGGGTCATAAGATTTTTTAAGTAATTTGTTTAACTTCTCAAAGTTAACGTCATTGTTATCGCCGTCATTGCCTAGAAGCACAATGTTTAATACGAAAACATAAATAAAATATAATATATTAAGTTAATTAAGGGAGTATACAGACATACTGTAGTAAATATGTATACAAAACAAGTGTGGAGTTCTACTACCAGTTAAGTAGTCCCATTGTTAATCTAGTATATATATATATATTAAGTGAAATGGCATCAGACGTTTCTTAAATTAGTGAAAATTTACAGAAATGTCACTAAACACCACTTAACATTTAATTCTTCATAGATATTATTACCGTCAGTTTGCAGAATCTTTTGAAATTCTTCCATATTTTCTGGCGTTAGGTTTTTTGTTAAATTTTCAATAGCTTTCATCATTTCATCTATAGACAATTCCGCATCTTCTTCCTTGGGGTGAGACTTGTATGCACTTGGGCTTGACTATGGCAACCAGATAACAAATCATAATTAGAATGTAACAAGATGCCAAAATAGTGGGAACGGAAAGGTCTCAGGTTTTCAGGAATTATTATAACTGAGAAACTATGATCACACTCGAATAAACTTCGATGCGAAACTGTGTATGGTAAATGCTATTATATATATATATATATATAATTATATATCAGGTAATTCTTTTAACGTCATACACTTAAAAAAAATTGCAGTTTTGTTGTGTTTATTTTTGAAAACATTTGTATTTATGTTGTAGTACAATATTAGGCAATACAACATTTTTATATTGTTTAATATTTGCTAGAGCTTCATCAAACTCTTGAAACTTAAACGGTAATATACAGGATGATTTTTTTATCATGGGCCACTCAATATCTCATAGGATTTTAGAAATTAAAATATTTTTTTTCATATCATTTTTATACAATGTAATCTCAATTTTTCACAATTTTTTTTTGTTTTTACCCCCTCCCAACTTAGTTTTTTTGACAGCAACTTTTGAATTTTAAATGGTAACGTATATAATTTATTAAATTTTTTAAATTAGAATAATGTACTAAAAATTTTGACTGATTGATACCCTGTTTTGGACAACTATTTTTAAAGTTATAAGAGTTTTAAAGTTATGATGGGAGGGGAAGTGCGGTTGGAAAATGTGCGGATAGTTGTTGAGAAATGTGTGTAGATAAAAATTACTCTACTCTTCACCTTTTTGAAACATCAATAACTTCAAAAATAATTATCCAAAACTGAATATCTACCGGTCAAAATGCTTAGTACATTATTCTCAATTAAACAATTTAACAAAATGTATGCACTACCATGTAAGTTTCAAAAGTTGCTATTAAAAAAAAACTAATTTGGAAGGGGAGTAAAAACAAAAAAAATATGAAAAACTGAGATAAAATTATTTAAAAACACTTTGAAAAATAAAATGTTATATCTTATTAAATCCTGTGAGATATTGAGTGGTTCACGATAAAATATGATTACCTGTAAGCTACTATTTAAGATTCAAAAGTTGATAAAGCTGTAGCATAATATATATATAAAAAAAATAAACATTTTAATATTGTCTAATATTATAACATAAGATAAACAAAAAAGTTAGACAAAATACAAATGTGTTTTTTATTTTATTTGAGTTTCCTCCAAAACAAAAGTGTAACTTCAGATATTTGAATTTAAAAAAAATTAGTTAAGTATATAATAGTAAATACGTATTACCTAAGTTGAAAATAATCTAACGAAATGTTAACCAGTCGATTAAAAAATGTATAATATGGCAAAATATCCGATATTTAAAAAAAACTATGTCTTAGAATTCATTTTATCGCCAATATCAAAATAAACAACATATTATAATACATTAAATAAGCAATTGTTTGTTTAGAATCAGAGCTGATTTTGTTTACTTAACATCTTTGACAAAATTTTTAGTAGATGTTGAAGTCTTAATACATATGAGCAAACAAATATTGAAGAATGAAGTCTAAAAATTAGGTACCTGAGAGTTTGAGTTAAATAATAAGAACGATCAAGCTGGAGTTAGAATTACGTTGTGTTTCAAAAGCTGACTTAATATTATGAACACTTTTAAGTATTCAAAATATTAAAACAACTTTAAATATTAGGTATATTATATTATTTTATAAGCTATGACGATATTCACAAAATAATGAAATTTATATATATTTTTAGAGCAATCGCATATACGGTCGTCGACTCAATTGATCTCAAATCAGTTAAAATACTAGATTTCGAACCTGGTACTATCGAGTGAGTAAAAATATATTATACCGTTATACTTTTTCATATATACATTTTTTTTTTTTTTTGAAAATGTAGAAGATAATATACAATTATTAATATAATATATTATATTGTTGATAAATTTACATTAGATTAGAGAAATTGTAATGTACTCATAGTTTTATATGTATTAAGTTGTTACATAAAAAATATTAATATTGGAGGGAGACAGAGAGAGATTGTCGAAATCGGTTCTATATTAGGCGAACCGCGAATGGGAACCGTTTGAATCTTAAAAAAAATAGATCTACAAAATTGTTTTTAGTCCCATAACTATGTGTCTCAAAATGTTTGAATTCTACATTTTTTTAAGTTCAAACTTTATACTTATTACGCTTTAATATTGAACTAAGCTATCTAATTGTATCTCATTTTACTTATATTTTACAATACTATTATAAATACGTCAACGATCTAGCATTAAATATAAAATGATATTTCAAATTGTTTTATAGAATAGAATATTGTTGATCGGTTAAGAAATCCAAAGAAAATAATTTGATTATCTCAACACGATCGGCAAGTTACTTATTTACTAATAAGCAACCTATCATCTACTTTGTCCATGTTGTATAATTATTAAACAATATAAAAAAATAAAACTGTAATATTTACTGTATCCTCTGTAGAAAATTCAGAAGTCTGCACGGTTTCGGCATCATAACATTGCACGAGACAGAATATCACACAGAAAAAAAGAGTAGTATTTTTTGAGTACATTTTGGTTTTTAAATGATCCACGATATTGCGTTAAGAAGACTAAAAACACAATATTGCGAGTGAAACGTTCCAAAACCATTCGACACTTTTTTCGTGTTTACTTTGCTAGCAAGACCACATTTTATTTTAACAATATGCAGTTCAAATACCGTGTAAAGACAACGTTCTTAACTGCTGTAATAAAAAATATTCACCGACTTTAAAAAACCTTCTGTTGAATTTAAAATGTGTTATTCCGTGTTTTAGTTTCGGTGTATCGCATATTTTAAAAGTTTAAAATATAGAATATACAGGGTGATCGGTTTAACGTAAACCACACTTTTTTTTAAAAAAATATATCGAATAAAATTAAAAATAATGTTTTTCTAACAAATTTAATTGGTCAAAAGCAGGTTTTTGAGTAATTATTTTTAAAGTAATTAAAGCATAACATTTAAAACGAAAGGTGTGAAAGGAATACGGACGAGTAATTTTCGTAGATAAAAATAATTCTACACTCCACCCATGCTCCTGTCTTATATTTTAAATTTCAATATCATAAAAAATAGTTATTAAAAGCTGGTTTTCGACCAATCATTATATTTAATCGAAAATTCCTAATTTAAAATGTTTATAACGTATATATTATGCCAACATTTAAGTTACAAAAGTTGATACAACTCTAAAATTTAAGAAAGTACTTAAAATGCCACAAAAGAAAAACTACAAAATTGTAATTATTCTTAGAAAATACGAGTTTCTTGCATTTGATTGACCAATACAATTAAATAGTAAAAATTACCACCTATTTTTCTAAAACTAATGCTAATACTAATGCTACATAGTAAAAACAGAATTTTAACAAATATTTACAATTTCAAAAACGAATACAATAGTAAAATGAACCAAAAGTCTTCGTTTTTTATCCACTACAACTAATAGAATTGTTTTATATTTAAAAAAGTGATAAAACCTCATTTTAATGGCAGTGGATATTAATTTAAACTATGTATTTTATATAAAAGGTTATCTCAAGGTTTTGAGAATTTCGATGAATCATTAAATACCACAATATTATTCACTGTCTACAAAATTACTATTATAATCATTTTTTTTCTTCTACTTTTTGATAATAATAATTTCAAATAAATTATATTATTAGTCGCCATTTGAACTTAGATACAAATCTATATATTTTTTTTAACGAGTGTCTAATACTATATTATGATACACACATTACCATTTTTTTATGAATAACAATCCGATCGTTTAGAATAAATAATTCGAAAAACGGTTAAAATCTATAACTAACTTCTAAGTCCCGATTTAAAGGCCTAAAGAACCGTTTAAGAGTATTAATTTATAAGTTATCGCGAAAACCGATATTAAACTATACAATTTTTATAGTTTTATCGATTTATTAAATCCGAATGCTACATGTAGGTATTATTTATTATTTATGCGTGTATTTATTCACATAAATATACTTCAATACGTGCAACTGAATATTTTATAATATCGACCCATTAAATTCCTTCACACTAAACTGTCATCATATTATTTTAACGATAATTGGTATTTATTTATATTAAATCTACTTAAGAAATGTTAATCATATTTCCAAACGAATCCTAATTGTCTGCACGGTTCGGTTATCAAATAACAGGCTTAAATCTAAAATCCAAACAAAACCCCTCTCAATCAAAAGTCTCTACTTCTTCCCAAAACCTCTTACTATTTTAGCTTTAATTTTTGTTTTGACTCAATTTTTTTAATTGTATATAATTGGTGTATACTGTTACCTTTTAGAATATTCATTTAGATTTTAAAGATGAAGGAGGAATATTTTAAAGTTTGAACTTCAGCGTACCTTCTGGATATAATTTCTGAATGACTGATGTGCTGCTCGAATATATCATTGTAAGAGCCATTTCAAAATGATTTTGTTTCCAGAAGTAAAAATAACATCATTATAAAATCAATACACTCTTTAAGCTCTACATTAAAACTAAGATATATAATAAAAATAAATTTCAGTATTACTGTAGAAATTTGGGTTGTAATAATAATATTATAACATCATCATAAAATAGCGAATTTGCATAAGCAAAAAAGAACTCTATTTAATGTAATTATTATGGTAATAATGCTTACTGTAATAATTTATTTCTTTTCACTAAGATACAATATTATGTTTGGGACCGATTCATCTTAAATATATACGAGTATATATAAAAATAAGTCTATCTATGTGTGTATTTATAGGCGTTCGAATGGCTGCACTTATTTTGATCAAACTTGGCACAAATAATATTTGGAACGTGGAAAGTGCATGCGTAGAGTACAAATCTCCCTCCGGTATTTTGCCTCCCCCAGAACCCAAAAGGCGACCAACAAAATAGAAAAATCGAGATAGAGATTTAGTTGAACAGCAAATCGGGGGATTTTCTACTGATTGGGTATTTAGTATTTACCGTAGATAAGAGTGGGTCAAGAGCATGGGGAGGTATGGAGGGGGCCTAAAATAGAGAACTTTGAAAATGGATGTATATATGTGTGTGTACGTTGAAGCATAACTCTGGGAAGTCTGGAGCAGTTTAAATCATATATAACTTCGAACTTGGAAAAAATCCTATGAGTTTAGACACCACTCATACTCCAAGGAGTGGGGAGTATAAGAAGATGATTTTTAATAATAATTGAAAACGACCAATTTGTTATGGTAGAATTTATAGTTTTAGTCCCAAACTCTGTTCGGTTAACATTTTTTCCTAAAAATTATAATTTTCTTATAAATAAAACTATATATGAAAAAAAGTATATATATATATATGCATATTGTGGCACATATAAACTGTTCAACTATTTCAATAAACACTTAGATGTTGTCATACGTGTATTTTTATAAGGCAAATATGTAAGTTTTATTACTTATAAACTTAGTAGATATTTATGCGTTTTTTTTTAATACATAAATAATAACACACGCAATAAAAACAATAATAAAAATATTTTAAAACGAAATAACAAATAAAAGGCCATGAATTCACAACATTAAGTCACAAATGCATTTAATTCCACCATGTATATATTGGGCAAAAGTTAGACACATAATTTACCAAGCTATTTTCGAAGATTGTATTGGAGTTTGCATACATAATGTATCATATAAACTGAGGTTACATCATTTATCAGCTACACTATAATATAATAGTATACTTGTTGTATTTACTAGAGACTTTAAAACCATAAAGAACACACTATAATACAAAAATATATGTGTATATATTATATAATATATTCCATTAGCATAAAATAAACAAAAATATTATTTTATGGACATTTATAAATTTTTGATAGAGATCAAAACGTCAGTTTATTATTTTGTTCTATATGCCTTTAACTCTTATCTCCAATAATAATGCTTTTATAGTTTTACGAAAATATTACCGTGTCTACGGCAATGTATTTTAAAACTCATTATCAGAAGACAATTTAAACTTAACATATAAAATAGATTCAGTACGGCGATGAAAAAAATGATGTTGGGTTGCAGACCATATAGTTTGATAGTCGACTTAAAAAATTCTCAAACAAAAATTTCGTTATACTTCGGTTATTTTTCTTTACAAGTTTAAAAGTATATTAAATGCAATTTGTTCCATATTTTTTCGTATTAGAGAAAAACCAGAATTGACTTTTTAACTTAGTGTGTGTAATCTATACCATGTATATATGTATATATGATCAAACTACAAATTACTACCAAATTGCTATGTTAATAATATAATTTCCATCATAGTTTTACCTTTGTAATAATAAGTTTTAAATAGTTTAAGTAATTAATATTCTAACATGAAACATGACCCATACACATTTTATTTCGATTTCAATTTATACTTATTTAAACAATCATCATAATTAACGTTTGAAAATTGTTTATACTATTATTATACTGCTAGGAGGACGAATGGCCAAGTTTATGTTAGTTAAAATAACACAGATTTTACTCATTATGAATGTAGGAACAATTTTTTTCTTCTATACAAATACATTCATTAATTTTATATAATAAAAAATATTAAAATGACCTAAAAATATATTTAAAAAGTAAGGTATAACTTTTAATTATACCAAAATGTAATGTATTAAATGTCCAAGGAACATTAACGCAGAACGATCATTATCATTTGTGTATAAATATATATATATATATATATACATTTTTTACATTAAATATAAAAAGAAACCGCTGTTTCTTATGTAGCCGTTTTTTTAAGGAGCCTTAAGAGACCAAACTTTTAATATATAAATACATAATAATACGGCTAAACTATACTGTCTCAATTCGAAACGATGTCTTATGTCATAAAATCAAAATCTGCTAAGTAAAAAATAAGTTGATATCACAATAAATTTACTGTTTTATACTATTATATAATTATTATTATTCAAAGACTTTAGTATAATTACAAACATTTTTATTCAACTACCAGTTATAGTATATACCTACAACAGAATAACTACACTGTATAGCAGTGCCAGACGGCCACCTGTGCAAGCATACAGCGCGCGGTATTACAAATGAAGATGTTATGTTCAATAACACCTATGAACTAACTGAATTTATTGTTAAAGTTTCCTACTGACTACTATCTGCAAATCATATTGACTAAAAACCATAATTTCCATACGGAACCTAATTGCGTTCAATGGATTTTTATTTTTTACACCGTACATTTTTTTCGTAAACATATTTACCGACTTCATCCGGTGCTACAAATTAGGATAACGACTCTCCGACTGCAGCAACTCGATGTTGCAAAATATTTTTTTTTTTTTTGTGGCAATGTAATCGCAATCATCGTTTAATAATCAGTACTCGCACGTACTCGAATCCATAGGAAACGGTGAGAGAGAAAATGTATTAGTATGCGAATGTGTCATAAATCTTGTTAACATCTGCAAGATAATTAATAACGTTAAAGGCATTCGGATGCTCCGGTCTCGCACGTTTCCATTTGGAGTGTTATTACAAGCGACGCGAATACTACAGCCAGTGATAATACCATGTAATGGTACCTACGACATGTTAATGTGCAATGTCCACCTCCAATTTTTCTAGGTATAAGTGTACTTACAACGAAAATCATGGTTAGCGAGTACCTTATGTCCAAAAAGGTGAAATAATGGAAAGAAGGATTTACTTATAATGACATAGCCGTTAAATTTTCGGTTATTTTCAATGGTTGTTCCATTGTACAATGTATTCTAAAAATAAAAACAAAATACTCCCAAAAATATATTCGCTTCAATTAAATTCTAGTTTGTGCAATTAATAGTTTTAAAATGTGCATTTAAATAACTGTTACCTATTAGCTTTTTTTCATCTCTGAAAAATCTTAAAAATAAAAGTATTATGCGAATAATCGCTTGGTGGTTTCTCAAGCTTGGAACGCATTATACAAATTAAAAATCAGTTTTCGCTAGGTTTTGGCCTTCGATAATTCGGTCGGACGAGTGAAACTAAGAAGGTTTTGGCTTCCATTAATATAACATTAGGCAGATTCATCTATGCGCATTTGCAAAAAAATGTTAAGGAGCAAAAATCCTAATAACGGTTTTGAATACTGTATTACTGTATGACTACTTCGATGTTTTGTTAAAGGATAAAAAAAAATCGTTATATTTTAAAGTTGGAAAATACATCAATATAATATAAGGATTTTTTGTAGATTTCTCAAACTGAGAAACACTTGAAATTTTTAACTTTTGGTTTTATTAAATAATTTTGGGGTCAAATTTCTAATTTATAGCTGGCTTTATGAAAAAATCAGTTAAAAATAGATTGTTATAAATACACAAATAATAAATACGCATCATTAAAA